ATGATCACACGCTATAATGAAAATAAACTGCTATTGTGAAGTGAATCAACTGCTGAACGACTGTGTGTGAAGATATGCAGCAGGATTAGAACATCTTTGAATTACCCAAACACAAATGTGGAGCAGCGCAGCTTTACCTGATTACCTCAGGCTGCGTAACTTTAAAAAATGGACGGTCCAGGGAAACAACTTCCTCTGGCGGCCAGCGTGCAGTAAGAACCGGATGGATCCTGCTGCACAAGACTAACAGAAATGTATGAATCAATCTAAGTGTTGATTTTTCTGTATATTTTGTCTTTTCTGTATATTACAATGATTTTTATTTATAAAGCAAATGTCATAACGAAATCAGCACTAAGTGCTTTATACAACAAAAGCAACCATACATTAAAAACACAGCCTTCACACACCATCCACTCAAAGTGCTCACACTCCCTCATCACACTCATGCATACGTGCTCTCTGTCAAATGGTGAGAATAAAACCTTTTGCCCATCTGTATGTTTTTTATTGTTTGTCTTAAAAACTGACGAACCATTTGATGGATTTTAATTAAATTCTTCTGAAGTAATCATTGTTTTTTTGGTCTACAGCTCATTACCCTTTAGAGTCAGTTCCATTAAAGATGCTGCCACAGCCAGCTGACCTCATCAAACACCAGCATAGCTAAAGCCTGATTCGTCACCTCCAACAGGGAGGGACACACACGCACGGACAGAGACGTTTAGCCCTCATACTTCTCCGTCTCCTGGGGAGTGTTGCAAAGCAATTCCCCGCCAGGACAACAGAGGGTGTAGCGCTGTTTTGTGGTGTCCTGTCATGTATCGGTCCAAGATAGTGTGTTTGTATTGTGTTTTTTGAATATAAGAGACTTTTTAACACAGACACATTTGTCTCTAATCCTCCTCCACCTCTTCATGCGCTCGCCACCTCTAAACCCACGTTTCCTGTCATTTCCGTCCACAAATAAAATGCCTGCTGTGCATCTTTTCACTCCTCCAGTCACGGGGAATTAAACATTCATATTTTAGAGTTTTTTCGCGAGGTATACTTCACGCTTCTCTGTGTCTGCCGCTAGTTATTTTCCACTCTCTTTATGTTTTTGAGGGCGCAATGGCGGCGGTGTAGACAACAGTGGTGTCCTGACCAATCACAAGCTTGCATTCTCCGTCTCGATCGACGGATGTTTAGAAAAGAGAGCTCGACTCCGTACGTACTTGCAGGGGCTCTCCAGCAGGCCTGCAAGGATGGATAATGGTGTTGTGTGTCTTCGCACTGACGCAGACGCAGAAGAATGAATCAGGCTTTATACTCAGATTTACAGATAATCTGGGGAATGGTAAAAGGAGTAATCCCAGATCACATAAAGTTGTCTTCACATTTTGAAGGAAACATCTGTAAATCAACCAGTTTTCAACATAAGGTGGCAGGTGGAGGGGTGTGGATTTATTATTAATTATAACTGATGAATTTAAATAAGAGTTCTTCACAAATGCACAAAAAAACCCACAAAAAATACACACTGAAGATAAATGATGAGTTAGATTGAAAAACTGTGGCGGACATTCGAAAGTGTGCTACGGATTGTTAACTAATGAATTAACAAATAAAATGCTTAGGAACTTTTTGTTTACAATATATATATATATATATATATATATATATATATATATATATATATATATATATATATATATATATTAGTGTTGTGCATCTCCACCTGCCTCACGATTCGATCCGATTCCGATTATCTGCCTAAAGATTGGATTTGAGTCTGAAATGCATCACGATTCTTCACACAAAATTTTTCATTACTTAAGTAGAATAGTTTTCAATTTTTTTATATCGATATCCCTGAAAAACAGAACATACATCTATTCACTATAGTGAGCAACAATTTTTAAAGTGTGCTGCCTACAATCACTTACTATATATAAGAAATAGTGTTTTCTGGAGAGCAGCTTTAAGATAGAACACTACTGAACTTAAAAATAGTAAACAAATACTGTGTTAAGTGATTGTTTCACATCCAGGATCCGAAAACTGAAATTAGCCCAGACATCCGATTTAAATGTAATGGGTACATCTTTGATTACTGGTAATGTTGGCCCTGTATCCCTGTTCGCCTTTTCTGTTTTAAATTGGCGCTAGGGCAATGCATGTCATTGTAACTCTGCCCCCGGAAGTAGTTGTAAAACCTCAAAACTTTATTGTCCTCGCGTGTCCAGAACATAGACATAGACATAGGGAGAAAATCTCATTATGTCACGTTGCTTTATCGATGCAGAATCATGCACGGCTGAATTGCGATGCATCTTAGAATCGATAATTTTTCCCACCTCTAATATACATATATATATATATATATATATATATATATATATATATATATATATATATATATATATGTAAATGTATGAAAATGAATGTAGCAAGATGAATAACATCAAATAACAGGAAAATTTGATTTATAAGATTCTGAGATTTATCTCAAATAAGACAATCAAAAAAGACAAATAGGCCATCAACACTAACTTTGAGGGTTTAAAGTTGTTTTAGGTTATTAGGGACTTGGTGATTAGGTGATTTGTAGCAAATTAGCAGTATTCTTTAGCGAGTCATTCTCTTAGCAAATGTCACGGTTTGCCTCCACCTACTGGTGGATTTTTCTGTTTTGTTTTGTGTTGCAGGTAGGCGCGGCAGACGGCACACCTGTTGGGTGTTTGACTAATTGAGGGAGAGGGGATTTAAGGAGCGGTGCGACTCAACTCCAGTGCCGGTTGACACTCTCACATGGGTATTTCTCTAGCCTCTGAACCTGCCTGCTTGTTTTGTGATTCCATGATTATAACCTTGAACTCCGTTCCAGTATCCTGTTCGTGCATCACCTACCTTGCCTGGAGTTGTTCCCACGTCTCGCCGCTCAACGATCCTCTGGACTCCTCTCTCCACGTCTGCCCGCCTGCCTCACGCTCTGAACTCCTCATCTGGTCCAACCTTCCTCAGTTCACCTCCGCTCTGGTTCCGATTCCTGACCGTAAGAACTCTCTCAGTCACAGACTCTTGTCCCCTGGTTCTCTGGTTCTGGTCTCGCGCACCTTCTGCTTATTTCCCCGTAGATAGCGGTCTCCTCCTGATCCTGATCTGAAGCAGCGCCTTTAGTTTAGTTTTGCCTATTCTGTTATTATTTTCTCATTGTAAATAAACCACCATATTTTTACTCACCGTCCCTCTGATGTGATTCTTCATGTCCTGGGTGAAAGCTCTTACCCACAGCATGACAGCAAATCAGTGCTCTGGCATTTAAGCGCCTCGTGATTTTTATCTTGAGAGGCGCTATAGAAAAGATATTTTCTTCTTCATCTTCTTCTCTTATTTCAGGGACTAGAGGTGAGTCAGAGCAGAGCCAACAGCAGCTTTCCTCGCCAAGAGGGTGACTCTATAGAAATGCTAAACTTCAGTGCGACGCAGATCTGAGTGGATTTTCTAATCCGATTGTTCCCCGTCTGTTTTCTATCCGTGGCTAGCAGGAAATAGGGGTAGAAGATTTTCACACTCAGCCTACATGTGAAACAAAAATAAAGTAAAACAGTTTCTCAGTAAACTCAGTCTTCTAACGGCATTTGTGGAACATTAAAGTTGCTAAAAATAAAAAAGGGTCTTTGTAAAATGTTAAAAGATAGACGGACAGAAAGGCAACAGCCTGCAGACGGATGTTGAAGCTGTCAACTTGAGAAATATCTTTCCCTGTAAAATCAGGACAAGGACTGATGCAGGAGTAAATTAAGACTTTATTCTTCAAATGAACGTCCAGCATACCAAACCCACCTTCTGGTAAGAGGTAGGGAGATTATTGGTGAATTAAAACCACACTTTACAACGTTTCCTTCCTTTTAAATCGTTTTCTTGAGCCAGGTTGTGCTAAAATGACCCTTCACAGGGTTAATGAAAGGCCGCCCAGCCTCTATTGCCCCCGTGTGGCAAGAATATTGCACTTGCAACTTCAGAGTGCTGGTCCGGTCTGTTGGGACTTAGAAAAAAATGGAGCTGACATACCAGGTGCTGCAGCACATTTCCAGCATGTTTTAGATCATGAACACAGTTGATTTGTTAATGATGAATCACTCCTGGAGACACTAATGAAGGCTGAGGAGACATTTCATCTATTAGATTAAGGTGTTAAAAGGATGGACACACAACGAGGATATTTGTTTAGCTTTCGGTTCTACAAACAAACACTAGGGGGGTAAAAGCAAGCCAAATTTGCCCAGTTTTCCTTTAAAAGGCATTGCTACTACAGAGGAAATGAGTTATGTCAATAATGATGGAGAAAACTTCAATCTGAGCAGGTTGACAAGCTAACTGCTAGGCTGAGCGAGGTCATAAAATGGATTGTTGGTATCTTTCTTTGTAAAGACTGCATTATAAGCTCGTACACCACCCTTATTTTCACAGATAATCTGGCAGAAATAAAGAGACTCCTGGTGCAAATGCCAGACTAGCATGCTAACAGCAAACTGGAGTAAAATCATTTCTGTTTAGCTGCTGAGTTTTTAATTTGAGGAGGCATCGCATACAGGAAACATTCATGCTGAAGGTGGTAGATGTACTTTTGGAACCGTTTGAAGAAAGCGTGTATAAGATAGTTTTCTGTCCCTTTGCGTTGAACAGATGGAACCTCTTGACTCTGTGTTAATCATCCTAATATTCCATCATTTTCCACGTGCAACAACTTCTTTCCTCCCCCAGACTTCCGCATAATGAAACTCTGCGCCAATGACGCTGCGCCGCTGCATGATGACGTCACTCCCGCACTTCTGATTGGCTGAAAGCTGACATTAAAAATCCAGCTGTTTCTCTAACTTCCAGCTCAAGCAGCGAGGAGGAACCTCAGAGCGGCTTCCTGCGCTGTGATTGGCTAAAGGGCCTGCACGCCGAGCAGGACGGAGAGGTAGGGAGAAGTTTAGGATCTCCCCCTCCCTCCCTCTCCTCTCCTCTCCTCCCCTCCTCCTCCGACTCAGCTGCGAGAGCTCCGCTGATGGACTGAGCCGAAGATGCAGTGTTGAGGAGACAAGAAGGAGAGCAGAGCAGGAAGACTTTGAGCAGCAGCGGAGGAGGAGGGAGCTCGAGACCGGAGCGCTTTGACGCCTGTTCGTGCGCAGCGACGAGGATGCGCAGGGGCATCTCCACAACAAAATAACTCCTAAGGATTATAAATGGCAACTAAAAGTGGTGGATTCGGTTGTGGAATGAGGAGAAAGCAGCGGGGATAAGATTGGCTTCCTCCAGAGGGAGAAGGAGGGATTAACGGAGAAGTTTGTGTGCACAGACGGCAGAACGCACCCCAATCTCTCGCCGCTCCGGTTGATTTTATAACATTTTGTTTTATGTTTCCACTGGAAATTGTGATAAAGTGTTGAGGTCCCTCGAAGAGGCTCCTTGGAGACCTGAGATCAGGGCACGGTCTGAGCGCAGCGCGTCTGCACCACCTGGAAACTATACAACCCGCTTTGACGCACCACCAGGAGGAGAGGGTCTCCGCTTTGCTCCCCTCTCATCCGACTTCTCCTCTCCTTCCGAACAATCTGTCTTTTTTATTCGGACTGGTGTGCACTTTATAGCTCCGACACAAAGTGATCATGCGATGACTGAGCGCACTTTGGGCACATCTACCAAGTCCACTATAGGTAATTAATCCAGGATTGCCACTGATAAGAAAAGGTGGCTCCGATGCAGCTAAAGTTTGGAAATAATTAATTTGTTTTGCAGACAGTGGTGAGGTTTGTGGGTTTTGTTTCTGTTCTAAATGGAACGAAACCAGCTTGCTGTTTTGGAGCCTCGTCAGGACCCATTCCGCTCTCCCGCGCATCAGAATTTGTATCCATCTAAATGTTTTTTAATAATGACATGTGCTCATTTGTAGAATATAAATATGCATATTTTAAGAAGTCTGAGTTTCTGATAATATATATTATTACCTAAATAAAGATTGATGTTTTGCTGCGGTTGGCGGTCTGATCAGATCTTCTGCGTTCTGTTTCCAGGAGCTGAGTGATGGCTGAGGATGGGGGAAATCTCTCCGAGGCCCCCGACGTCGGGGGCTTGGAGGGTCGCTCCTCTTTGCCCAGGACTTTCATCCGGCTCAACGACCTGTCCGGGCTGGGGGCGGGAGGCGGGGAGCGCGGAGAGCTGGTGATGGAGCCGGCGTCCCCAGCGCCCGACGGGATCTCCACGGACGGGGATGAAGGTTCGACGCACGGCGGGGAGAGCTTGCCCTACCCCACTCTGGCCCCCGTGGTCTTCTTCTACATGAAGCAAACCACGCGGCCGCGAAGCTGGTGTCTCAAAATGGTCTGCAATCCATATCCTTTTCTTTTGATTTTATTTGTGAGACTTGAGGTCTGCCCGCTTCCACCTGCGACAGGTAAGAAACTCCTGCTTGGCTGAGCAGCGTCCCCAGGTGACCTCATGTGTGCATGCCCCGGTGTGTAGGCTATGTGTGTGAGTGGTGGACACCTTGATCTTCCAGTTTTACTACCCTCCAAGCAATGCTGTCATTGTTCTGAGTTTATTTAGGTAATCAAGACACAAGAAGTAAATGCTCAATGAAACCCATCCTTGCTGTTAATGAGAACCTGGTGCCTAACTGGAAAGGTCATAGGTCAGGATCTCACTGGACTTAGTGCAGCTAGTTCCAGGTACAGTGAGAAAATATGCAAACCTTTCTGCAATAACAAAGAACTGGTATGAACTAAATGCACAAGTTGTTTGAATAGTCAAGTTATGCAGGTGGATCATGTTTTATTCATTCATTTATTTTTTACAAATTGGCAGAGTGTCTAAATAGAAGCTCTAATTCACTCTGATTTTATTTGCGGTTTGGTTTCCCACATTGTGTAAAATTCCTGGCAATCAGTCTTATATAAATGAACGGAGGAGAGTTTGAGATGGATTCCTGACGTTGGTAGTGACTGAGATGATTTTGAGGAGACAACTGACTTACAAAGTATTTGAATATAAAGCCTCCGATGCTTCTGAGAAAATCAGTGAAACTCCCATGTGACCTCTGATGGCTTAGCCCAGTGCGATTGTGTCTTTAGGTAATTAAAAAAAATGAATAAACCAGGAGTTTGACATCAGTCAACATGACAGAAGTCAACGTTACACCGACACGCCCGACAGAGCTTTTAGTAAATAGTTCCTACGCAAACATTCTTAGAGAAAATTCTCTGTGAACGCTTATTCAAAAAGCAGGGACAGGTATAGAACTAAGTATTATCTGCATAAGAAATGTCCTTCAGTGAATTCATGTTTTCCACAGACAGAACCTTGTGGGACTCCGTTGGTAATGAGATCTAGAAGCAGCCAGATTAAGAATATTCAGATGAAACGGATTAAAAGGGTAGGAGTGTGGATGTCAAGAATGCCAGGTATGGCAGGACCTTCAGTAAGGGGCCGTGTTTTGGGAATTGGGTCATACGTGCCTGGACTGGTTTTTAATTTAGTCTTTCTTTTGGGGTTAATAGCTGCAGAAAGGTGCAGTCTATTGAAGCAACTGAAGCTTATTGAATCTCTCCTGCTGCTGAGGTGTATTATTGATTCATAAGTGTAGGGACCTGCAATGATGCAGTGCTCCTGCTTGGAGGAGATGGAGAGAAAAGGGCGGTAGAGCCTTTTCTATCTCAGGTAGTGGATGAGTGTTTGCTCAGCTGATTATATTTTGTTCTGAAGGTTTCTGACAGCCCTTATAGCATCTCTCAGATCACCTCTCTTCCCTTTCTTCCCGTCTGCCTTCCACCTACGCCGCTTCTGTCCTGTCCAATCATTCAGCCGTCACTCCATCCATCTCCTCTGCTTCATGTCTTTGTATTTCCTCATTCGTTTTAATTTGTATACACATAACGTCCTCTCCATGCCTTCATCGACTTCTTTCATTTTTTTCATGTCCCTTTTGTACTCTGGCTCAGACCCGCAGTGATCACGGCGCGGCGGCTGATTTCCATGTCAGTAAATGTCAAATCCTGAACGGTATTACCAGGAGAGAGCGGCGGCTCCACGGGGAGGAAACCCAAATCTTTGATACTGTTATCAAAGATTTGGAATTCTCTTATTTTGGAGGACCGAACCGCTCACAGAGAAGCCCTGTGTGAGGGCAGCTCGGTGATGCCTTGTCACAATGGCACAAAATCACAGTTCATAACTATGAAGTGATTCAGACACGTGGAATATCTGAGAAATTAATTTGAATTATTCAGTTAGAGGACTAGTTGCACCAAGAAACCACGTGTCTAATTCAAACAAAAAAAAGTTAAACCTGTCACCAGGTCAGTTTGTACACAAATAATGTAAATGAAGGATGTTCCAATACCTGCAGTCACTAAGATTATACTCCTGCTGATAGTTTTAATCTGACACTACTGAGCCTTTATCCTAGTGTACATAAAGTGCATACGACTCCACCACAGTAGGTGGTGACATGCACCCTCTCGTGTTCCTGTTCGTCTGGTCAGCCTATAGCAACACATGGCGGGAGTGAAGCAGATGGAGTGAAAGCAGGATGTGCACGATGGCCGAAGGAATGCAGGCAACGCTGTGCACCAGTCCGTTTGGTACATACTGGGCTGTTTGATGGCGGTGTTATAGGAAGGCCAGTTCCACGGTCTTGTCATATCTGAGAGGGGGAGAGTACGGAACGGTCACATGTAGAGAAATTTGGTTTTCCATGGGTGCCCTCACTCGACCAGGGGTAGTGCAGCTTGATTCGACATCAGCCCGACTAAGGCTGCTATTTGAATTTAAAAAGTCCCACTTCAGTCAGACTAATGAAGTAATTTGGTTTTCTCACACTGCATGTAAACCCACTGTGTGACAGAGGTTGTGATCCAGAAATCCTGGAGGCTCCTGCAAGGAAGGTGTTTTTTGTCTGTGCTCCAGGACTTTGGAATTTTTATTTATTAATTAAAGTGTTTAAAACTCTCAGGACTCGAGGTATTCAGATGCGTACCAAATATCACCAGGCTGTTTTTTGAACGCTGTTCTGCGTAACAGTTGTCATTCGTAAATACCTTTTATTGATCTCTGATCAGCATTTTCTGCTCCAGACTTTAGACGTCAGTGAACTTAACACACGAGATGCTGGCTTTAAAATGACTGATGATGTTTATAAACAAAGCTTCAAACAGTGTTTATGAATCCAGTTAAAACAGGCAGCTCTAAGCAGGGTTCTCACCTGCCTCAACGAAGATTAAAATACAAACTGCAGGCTTCTGACGTGATGTGTGATAAAGAAGTTTTAAACTAAAAAATAAATCTGATTTTAAAGGCGGTGCTCACATTTTGGCTCCTCTGATGAATGCAGCTCTTTTCTCTGGTGATGTTTCACCACATGGCTACAGTCAAAAGCCTCTTTCAGAAAACAATGCTGCCAATTTATGGCAAAGCTGTGCCGGTATCAAAGACGGTAATGTGTCCTTTCTACAAAAGATTACACGATGGCGGTATAAAGTGGGTATGAGGGCAGTTTCTGCGCCACCACGGACTTTTGATTAATTTGGACAAAACGAGTGTTTTATTGTGATCAAAGCCGCACTGATTAAGTTTTTTTCCCAAGCCGCTCCTAAAGGTGTCCGTCCTCCACAGTCCCCATGCTGTCTCTGGTGATCTGAGCTCCAGCTCTAGAGAAGCTCCTGGAGCTCTGCATTGCTCCAGTTTATCATCTCAGCTGATTTTGTTCAAAAAGCAAAACTTTTTGCCATGTTTTATTTCATTTTGAACGTGCTTCTCCACGTTGAGAGGAGACAGTTGAGGTGGCTCGGGCATCTGGTCAGGATGCCTCCTGGATGCCTCCGGGCACGTCCAACTGGGAGGAGACCCAAGGGAAGACCCAGGACAAAATGGAGGGTCTATGTCTCACGGCTGGCCAGGGAACGCCTTGGGATTCCCCCGAAGGAGCTGGCTCAAGTAGCTGGGGAGAGGGAAGTCTGGGCGTCTCGACTCAGGCTGCTGCCGCCGCGATTTGACTCTGGTTAAGCGGTTGAAAATGGATGGAATATAGTTTCCTGCCGGAGCTCGGCAGGAACTCTGCACGGGATCATGGTGTAAGATGCATTCACAAGTCTGGCGAAGCAGCAATATTACTACCAAGCGTGGTGGCACGAATGCTGCAAAATTTCCGCCTCGCCACACTGCCGTGGCGCGTTCATAAGACACACTATGGCGGCAGTAATACGCTGATTTGCCGACACTGTGTGTTATCTAAAGAGGGCTAAAGACACTAGGTCAACAACAGAGATCAGGAGGTGAATGTTGTTGTATTCATCTGATTCCATTTATGAAGACTGCCTTGATCGGGATGTTAATTCCATACTTGAGGTTGGAAAAGGACAATTCATATTGTAAAAGGAAGAAAATCAACCAGCTGTCATTTATAAAGAACTTGAGTGACGTTTGTTGTTTGAACTGACCTGAAATAATCCAAAACTTGATTAATCTCTTGGGAAATCTTCTCAATTGGTGACAAAATCCCAGTGAAACCAGTTGTAACTTCCATTCAGGTGGAATAACAGGGTTCAGAATGGATTTGGTGGTGCTGGGAGTACTTTTGGGTCATTTGAAATGAGATTTGTGTGTGTGTTCAGTCATGTGTTTGCAGGTGTCCCTAGGGTTGATGGGCTCTCTCTCTCCCCTCTGCCCTTTATTGTGTGTCTATGCTGATTTATGTAAAGGTCACTGATTTTGAAATGCCTTGTAAAGCCTGATTCATGCTTCTCCGTCAGCTCCGCAAGGGACAGACACGCACGGACTGACGGAAGCGTTTTGCTCTCATACTTCTCCGTCTCCTGGGGAGTGTTGCAAAGCAATTCCCCGGCAGGACAACAGAGGGCGTAGCGCTGTTCTGTGGTATCCTGTCACGTTTCGGTCCAAGATGGTGTGTTTATATTGTGTTTTTTGTGTATAAGAGACTTTTTAACACGGACAAATTTGTCTCTCATTCTCCCACCTCTTCATGCGCTCGCCACCTCTAAACCCACGTTTCCTGTCATTTCCGTCCACAAATAAAATGCTTGCTGCGCATCTTCTCACTCCTCCAGTCACGGGAGAATTAAACGTTCATGTTTTAGTGTTTTTTCGCGAGATATTCTTCAAGCTGCTCCGTGTCTGCCGCTAGTTATCCTCTGCTCTCTTTATGTTTTTGAAGGCGCAATGGTGGCGGTGTAGACGACAGCGGTGCCCTGACCAATCACAAGCTTGCGTTTTCCGTCTCGACGGACGGATGTTTAAAAAAAGTGGGCTCGACTCCGTACGTACTTGCGTGCCTGCTGGGGCCCTACGCAAGGATGGATAATGGAGTTGCGTGTCTCCA